TAATATCTCGACGTCGTTTTTAATTATGTCTATCTTGCGAGTTGTTTTGTTTTTCGTTAGCCATAAAAATATTATACGAAGCACGGTTGTATTTCGTATAAACAAAATTAACTTGGTTCGATCGAAAATAAAAGTAATAGTAATAGTCATGCTACATCCTATATTAACTTTTTTTTAGGTGAACCGACTTTGATGATTTTTATTTATTTGAAAGCTGGTGCTTGTCGTCCCATATAAATTTGATCAAGATCTGACCTGTAGTTTTTGAGTTATCCTTAATAATGCTTATTTAATAGACTTCGACTACATTGATGTTCTCATTTGATATTGAAGTCGCTTGTTAAAAGGTTTTAGGACAAGTAAAACTCCGCCGCGCTACCCTATTTCGTCTTCGTATTGGCGGATTTCATACGCCTTCGAAATATTTTTTTAACACGTCAGACATGCTGATTTTCTCACGATGTTTTTCTTCACCACGGACGCACGTGGAAAATCAGTACTTAAAATAGCAATTAACAATTTTGGTGTATGCGGGAATCGAAACCAAACGAAAATATTTGTTTTTAAATATATATTTTCACACTTGTTACATAATATACATAGTTACATTATACTTATCAGGTGTGATAAGCGTTTTTAGTATGTTTATCGCCAGGATTCGCTTCCAATAAGGCTCTGGGTGCTCGTTAAACCGATTTATTACGACCCTGCGGAAAGATTTATCCTACTAATGTCTTTAAGGTTGGATTACAGCGCGATCCTATTACTGACATATTGAAAAATACATGATCATTTAAAATATTTCACTAAAAAATTTAGAATGATAAACAGTTAAATCGAACCAAGCGTTAAAAACTATAATATCAATAAATATATTATACAGGGTAAATAATATTTAAAAAAGTTAAAACTGAATTCAAAGTAATAAAAAGAATAATTATAATTATCGTAATCGGTTGCCGTGGTGCAGTAATATGAGCCGGTGTGTCATGCAGAAGCCTTTGCAAAATGAAGAGTACGATGGCATTTCATCATCAGATCTTCAACAAATTTATATGGGCCAACTCCAAATATTGGATACAAATTGGGACCACTTCAAATTTACCTACTTCCTAACAAAAAATAATCTTTTTAATCTGACATCGTAGTAAAGAATCATCGTTGAAGCATTCCATACAATTACAGTCTATTACCTTAAAGTTGGAGATAGGCATCATTTTAAGATTGGCAAGCGGGGTCGCACTCGCAGTTTTTTATTTTTCAACCGATTTCAAAAAGGAGGAGATACTCAATTCGATTGCATGTTTATGTATGTGTGTTACCTCATAAATTTTTTCTCGGTGAGCCGATTTCAATGGTTCTTTTCTTATTTGAATTCAGTTACTTCTCATGTGGTTCCATATAAATTTTATCATCCTGAGTAAAGAATCCGTACCGTACAGAGGCAAAGCTACATACAACCGCGCTATGATAGGTACACTACTACAAGCCAGACGCGAATGTGTGCGTGAGCACTTGCTGCTCGTCACATACGGGGAGAAACTGCTTCAAACCGGCTCGTCTAGCGCTCAAACTCAGGGTTGTGTAAAAAATAATAAGTATCAAATTTTGTTTTTAAAGATATATTCGTGTTCAATGAAATATAAAAAAACGTGTAAATATGGTTTAATATACACACAAGTATAAACAATAATAGAATAAATATAAATATATATTTATTGAATTATCCTAAAGAATCCACTTGGTAAGTATATATAGTATATGTGGGAGAAAGTTTATTTTTAATCTGTGTTTATGTTAGTTTTTAAGTCATGGCATGACAAGGGGTGTGGGTAGTCTCTGGTGACGACGATAAACATTGTAAAGAGGCTAAGCAGTTTTATTAAAGATTTTGTGTTTAATTCGACCATTCTTTTCTTCGACGATCCCACAACTATTTTGGGGGCTCGTCCGGGATCCAGAGAAGTATCAGTGTGAAAGAATTAACAACATTTACTAAGAAATCATCAGTAAAATACCGGCAAGTCATTGTGAGAAGTGAACTGTTTTACCGACACGAACCAAGATGGCGCGCGGGAAGTTTTGAATACGAGTTGCATCGGGACGTTGCTACCATCGCAGTGCATTACCTACTACGTGTGAGCGGAATGCTGTGGGACGTTGTTCGTGACTTCAATACATTTTTTATTTTTTACGAAATGTAAAGAAGATAAAGATAAGTTTCACGACTGGATTTACGATTTACGGATTTTACGATTGAAGATTATTCTTACAAAAATAATTATTTAAAGAAGATTTTACGATTATTGAAGACTTTTGAAGATTTTTATATTTGAAGAATTTCAAGATGCCGCCGAAAAAAGATATTAAAGATGGAGAAGAACGAGAATCACGTGACACCACATCCTATATCTCGTTTGCAGATGTGGAGAAGTCGATGACGTCATTTAGTGGTGATGATTTTTACCCGATTTTAACATGGTTTGAAGAATTTGAAGACACGGCACTGTTGATGAGCTGGACTGAAGTAGAAAAACTGATTTACGCGAAAAGACTCCTAATTGGAACTGAAAAACTATTTCTACGATCGCTCGGAGGTGTAAAAGATTATAAAAAATTAAAACAAAAACTCGAAGATGAATTTCGATCTAAATTGAATAGTGCTACCATACATAAAAAAACTAAGCTCAAGAAAAATGAAGAAAGATGAAGCTTACCAGCAGTATTGTCTCCACATGACAGAATGTGCACTACATGGAAACATCGAAGATGCAGCACTTATGGAGTACGTTATTGATGGTATCCAAGACAGCGAATCTAATAAATCTATTTTGTACGGAGCGTCAAACCTTAAAGAATTTAGAATGAAATTAGATATTTACAAAAGTATTAAAGAAAAGACCCAGACTCGACCCAGTGTATCTACTCCATTTGCTAAGAATAATAAAATAAAGCGATGTTTTAATAGCGAGGACCTAGATCATCAAGCCCCGACCTGCACGAAGGGTATTAAGTGCTTCCGATGCAATGAATTTGGGCATAAGGGAACTCAGTGTAGTAACAAAGGTAAAAAGACTTTAAATATTCAAAAGACTGAAACAAAAATTAAGACTGATAAAGAAGACAAAGAATTAGAAACTCCATATAAGAAGATAAAGATAAATGATGTCGAAATTACAGCATTAATTGACACTGGGAGTGACGTGAATTTGATAAAGTTATCTGAAGTTGAAAAATTTATGACAGAAAAAGTTATCTATGACAAAGAAAAATCAATACACCTAACTGGAATTGCTGGAAAAGAACTAAATACTGAAGAATTTCTGAAAGTTAAGGTTTTAATTGATGATTATTATGCTGATTTGGAATTTCACCTAGTACAAGATTATGCTATACCAGTCAGTGCCATACTTGGAAATCCTATCCTCAAATATTTTGAAATTTTTAAAAGAAGACTTTACTCGTGATGGTAAAATCCTTAAAAAGATTTCTTACCTTACACTACAAGCAGAAGAGAAGAAAACTATTTGTGATGAACATTACCCTGAAAATAAAGAAATTGCAGATAAGATTACAAAACTAATTAAAGAGTATATAACTGATGCTAAAAAGAAGGAAAGTAACGTTGAGATGAAAATAATACTTACCAAAGAAGACCCGATCCATCAAAGTCCACGTCGATTGTCACCACTGGAAATAAAAGTTGTTGATGAACAAATAAAAGAATGGCTAGACCAAAAGATTATACGACCCAGCAAATCAGATTTTGCAAGCCCTATAGTTCTAGCTAAAAGAAAAGATGGAACATACAGACTTTGTATAGACTATAGAAAGTTCAATAAAAGAATAGTGAAAGACCGATTCCCGTTCCCTCTTATAGAAGATCAGATTGACGGATTGAAGGGTGCAAAAGTTTTCACGACTTTAGATTTGAAGAACGGATTTATGCATGTGAATGTACATGAAGAAAGCAGGAAGTTTACGGCCTATGTAACTCCGCAAGGACAGTATGAATTCATGAAAATACCGTTCGGTCTATGTACGGCGCAGTCAGTATTTCAAAGATATGTCAACCATGTCTTTCAAAATCTTATTTCTGACGGTACTGTACTTGGATGATTTGATTTTACCCTCGGAGTCAGAAGAAGAAGGGTTGGAGAAGCTGGTAAAAGTGTTCCAAAGAGCTGAAGAGTACGGTCTTTTATTTTTGATTGATGGAACTGGAAGAAATGGCACTTCATGAAGAGGGAGATAGAATATTTAAGCTATATAATACGGAATAATGTATTACGCCCGTCAAAAGAAAAGATTTCAGCCGTATCAAATTTTAAAACCCCTCATAACATCAAGTCATAACAGTCTTTTTAGGACTGTCTGGTTATTTTAGAAAGTTCATCAAAAATTATTCTATAATTGCAAAACCACTTACCAATTTATTGAAGAAAGACGTTGAATTCAATTTTGATGAAGAGTGCGAAATGGTTTTCAATTAATTAAAAAGAATATTGTGTAGTTCACCTGCGTTACCGATTTACGATCCAGAGCTAGCAACAGCACTACATACAGATGCTAGCGCAGAAGGCTATGGCACCGTTCTGTTGCAGAAAAGTCCTACAGATAATCAAATGCATCCAGTCTACTACATGAGCAAAAAAACGACACCCGCTGAAAGAAAGTATCACAGCTATTACTTGGAAATACTGGCGATTGTTGAAGCTGTCAAGAAATTCCGTGTCTATCTACTAGGAATTCGTTTTAAAATCATAACAGATTGCTCTGTTCTTTCTAAAACATTACAGAAGAAAGACTTACCTCCACGTGTTGCTCTATGGGCTCTGCTCCTAGAAGAGTATAATTATGAGATAGAACACATGTCAGGATCAAGACTTAAACATGCTGACGCACTAAGCTGAAACCCTGTCTGCTTGATACTTACCGAAGCTGCTGCTCGCTTGAAGAGAGCTCAAGACGACGACCCTCATATCAGTCTGTTAAAGAAAATGTTAGAAAAAGAACCCTATCAAGACTATATTATGGAAAGAGGAATATTATGCAAAGAGAAAGATGGTACGAGATTTATTGTAGTTCCAAAGAAAATGCAGAACGAAGTAATAAGGAACAAGCATGATTATGGATATTTTGGAGTTAGAAAAACAGAAGAGCTTGTGAGTCGAGAGTATTATGTTGAGAATCTCAAGGAGAAGATTAGAAAAGTTATAGATTATTGTGTAGAATGTATTCTGATTGAACAAAAAAAGGAAAGAAAGAAGGATTCTTACATCCATTAGACAAAGGTGACGTCCCGTTGTCGACGTATCATATTGATCATCTTGGTCCATTGATGTCTACTAATAAAAATTATAAGTGTATTTTTACGGTAGTTGATGGCTTTACCAAATTTACTTGGATCTATCCTACAAAATCTTTGTCCAAAGATGAAACGTTGGACAAACTGAGAGTGCAACAACAAACCTTTGGTTCCCCTCAAAGGATCATTTCCGATCGTAACGCCGCATTTACTTCAATAGACTTTCAAGACTATTGTGAACAAGAAAGCATAACTCATTATACAATTACTACAGGACAACCCCGCGGAAACGGGCAAGTAGAAAGAATCCACCAAATCATAATAAGTGTTATAAGTAAATTGAGCGCTGATGATCCGACGAAGTGGTATAAACAAGTTTCCAAAGTACAACGCTGTCTGAATAGTACATGGCAAAGAAGTATCGGAATGAATCCATTAGAGTTACTTTTTGGAACCAAAATGAAAGATGAGAATGAAGAAATTATGAAATTAATAGAAGAAGAAGAAGTTAAGAACTAAAATGAGCAAAGGATATTAGGCAAAAGAGTCAATACAAAAGATCCAAGAAGAGAACGTTAAAAATTAAAATAGAAAAAGAAAAAAGGCTACCGAATACAAAGTTGACGACTTGGTTGCTATTAAACGAACACAATTTACTCAAGGAAGTAAATTGTTCCTAAGTATCTAGGACCTTACGAAGTGACAGCCAAAAAGCATCATAAAAGGTACGCTATAAGAAAAGTTGGTGAATGCGAAGGGCCCATCAACACAACAACCTCGGCTGATCTCATGAAGCCATGGGTCGATGAAGAAGTAGATGAATATTCATCTGAGTCAGATGAATGATCAGGACGGCCGTGTGGCAGAAAGTTAATTTTTAATCTGTGTTTATGTTAGTTTTTAAGTCATGGCATGACAAGGGGTGTGGGTATTCTGTGGTGACGAGGATAAACATTGTAAAGAGGCTAAGCAGTATTATTAAAGATTTTGTGTTTACTTCGACCATTCTTTTCTTCGACGATACCAGGTATATATACTTGACTATAGTTTATTATTTTTAATGTTGTAGACAGATACCTCACACATGTAGGTATATTATGTATTAGGTACCTATTAACGTTGAAAGAAAACGTACGTAGTACCTAATGGTTATTTTTATAATGTTTATAATTGAATAATTATGTTTATAAGTTAAATAAATAGGGTCATGATTTTTTTATTATTTTAGACCACGAGAGTTAAAAGCAGTCGGAAGACAAGATATCCTTAGAAAACTTTTTGATTATAAAATTTGTGAGGATTACTTCGAAAAATCCTGTATTAAATAAAAAAAGGATAAGGAGGATTTATTAGGAAAAAAAAATTAGATTTAGATTTACCATTTAATTAAAAGGCGCAACAAAATTTTTAAGAACAAAAATAATAAAAAATAAAATATATAGAATAAAAATAGTTTGTGCAAAATATAATGCATTAAATATTATAATAAAAGCTGATAAACGCTTTGTTATTTAATTTTATCCTCCTGTGCCAACCCTACAAAAATATTTTAAAATTTTGGTACAGCTCTGCTGCTTTAGAAGCTTTGCCTCTGTACGGTTTCTTTACTCGTGTGCTAGTAGTTTTTGAGTCTTCAATTTTTTTAATTTTACCACTTGTTATTCAGTTGATATCAGGAAGATGCTGCTGTTTATTTCCTAGTCGCTCCTTATCGCTTAATAAACATAAAAAAATTGCGACGAATTAAGAAGTACCTCCTTTTCGCAGTCGGTTCAAGTGGAAAATAATATTTTAGTTCATTCCCAGTTTTGCTTCAAAGCTAATTACCCACTTCAGATTACAGTAATTATGCACTATAATAATGAGTCGACACGATGAAGAGAGAGCACGCTCTCACAAACAATATCATGAAACAGCAGTTCGGTATTTTTGCATTAGTGACGAAATCTGGAGTCCCTTTGAAGAGTAATGTTTAAGGGTAAGAAGGAGTTTACAATAATTAATAGAATCTGGCGTTACTTTGTGTAAATCAATAATTTTAAAGATGTCATATTAATTAATTTTCAACATCACTTGTCACTTGTCTGTAATAACCTTAGACGTACATATCACTTTGTGATAACGTGTAACCTTACAGCTACATATCATTTTGGGATATGTTCGTGAAAGGTTATTACAGACAAAATTATTTTGTTATTCGATCGTGCAGATCTTTTAATGCTACAGAACATAGTAAAGATATAGATAATATTTTTATTTCCAGCGTTCTTCCACTTAGGTGCTTATAAAAAGAGCTTAAATATTTTTTCTTATTTCGATTAGAATGTTGAAAAAATTGTGTAAAATTAAATCTCTTACAAATTAAAATGTCAATGGTCAATAATTTTACAGTCAAATACACTAAATTAACTATAAGCACATAACATCTTATGATGTATGACGATATTGTGAAATTCATGTTTATGTAAACGATACAGGATAAAATCATAATGTGGAGGTAACGTTTTTTAAAAAGTAGGTAAAACAATAGAATATATCTTAATTAGAAAGCGGCTGGGGCTTAATATGAAGTTGCCGTTTTAGATTTACAAAATAAGGAAGCTTAGAGGAGTTCGTGTTAAAGCTGGCTTTGCATTGAAGGGTAGGTGCAGAAGTGTAGAGATTTTGGACAGAAATGTAACGTCTGATGAAAAATGGAATCTCTACGATGACCGAAAGCGAAAAACGCAACGGTTGTATCCAGATCAACTACCATAGCAATGCTTTAAAGTGAAAGCTCTACCATAGAAAATTAATGGTGACTAATTGGTGGTCACTTCATAGCGTAATTATAGTTTTTTTAGATCTGATGTAACAATAAAGGAAGATGTCTATTCAGAAAAAATAGAGTAATGTTGGTGAAACTTTCAAAGAAACGAGAACAAGAAACAAGAACAAACAACAACAATACCGAAGAAATAAGACGGCTCGACAAACCATTTGAACATTATAAGACAGGCAGTTAGTAAACATACGTCAAACATCCTCCTTACTCACCAGATCTAGCCCTAAACGATCAACATTAATTCCGCAATTCGGACAATTTCCTGCATGGACAAAAAGTTTATACATGATGCCTTCATAGACTATGTTCAGATCCTCAGTTCTAACGCAAAGGCATAAATGATCTTCCCTCGTGACGGCAAAAATGTATAGATAATTTAATTCAATTCAAATCAATAAATATATATTTTATGGCAATTTGATATTAAATTTTCTAAACGAAAACAAAGAAATAATTGTCGTTACAAAACATATGAGATGGAATGAGATATCACATAGAATGTTTATAGTTTCGTCTTCAAAGCACTTCTCGCTAACTTATTTCGTATTTTATGTAAAATTTGTTTACCCATTGCTATGTTGATACCCTATAGTTAGGAAGAAATTAGAAAAAGATCTGATAATACTATGACAAGCAATTAAAAATATATAAAATAGTTGGAGAAATTAAGTATAGTAGTTTTTATTCAAAACGGTTTATAACATCTACAATTCTAAATCTACGAATATTATATATTTTATACTATATTTTTATACTAGAGTGAATATATTATGTTAATGTAAGTTAATACAATAAATATATCCTTATATTCATTCTTACTTACATTACCTAAAAATTTTTGAAGACATCGTACGGTTTAGTAATCAGTCACGAATTTTAAACCGACGGAAAAGATTTGAATTAAAGTTGTTTATTATTAAAGAGAATTTTTCTCTAATTATCTAGCTGTAATTTTTCCTGTGTTGCTTTACAAAATTAAGTTTAACTTTTTCTTTTTCAATACAACTTAATGGTCAATTACTGCTACAGATGAAGTAAACCCGTATTTATCTCGCCAATGAAATGTATATTGGGTTGCATAGAACGAACGTCTTAATATACTGAACTATATGAACTTGAGGCTAGACTATAAGAATGATATGCGTGTTTGCTTTCATTTCGATATTTATTTCATCACAATAGCTAGGCTAGACGACAAAAAGTGTAAGATTTTTCTGTCACAACGCCTTCTGACGTAGTGTAGACGGTCTTGGCGGCTATAAGGAAGCGAGATGGAATAATATCCATCTCCTTCGCACTTTTTCTTATCTTGCCATGAAAGAAATATTTTGTTTATATTATGTATTTATATATAATATATAATATATAGTATTTTGTATATAATATGTTTGTTAATCAATAATATAATATGTTTATCAATAATGATATACCACGAAAAGAACGTCGTTCCAACCGAGTCTTCCACAACACTGGCGCATTTTTTTCTGCCGACTTCCAAAAAGGAGCCGGTACTCAATTCGACTGTATGTTTTTTTTTTCGTTTTTTTTTTTATGTGTGTTACCTCAGAACTTTTTTCTGGGTGAACCGATTTCGATGATTCTTTTTTTATTTGAAAGCTGGTACTTCTCGTGTGGTCCCATATGAATTTGATCAAGGTCAGACCAATAGTTTTTAAGTTATTCTTAAATAACTTATATTGAAGTCGGCTGTACAAAATTTTTAATTTTAAATTATTTATTTTATAAAAAAATATCACCTCATCAATTTAAGTTAACTCACTAGAGGTCTTATAAAATTATTATTTTTTCAAGATTTTATAACGGCTTTATCAATTTTTATTAATTTTATTTTACTTGGTGGTAGGATTACGTTTCTCTCCGAAAGTTTGCCTGGGAAGCCACCTCCCTCTTGCTTATTTCTGCCATTATATTAATATACAAAGTAAACTTTTTATCAATTTTATTTTACAAGGTGGTAGGACTTCGCTTCACTGTGAAAGTTCGCCTGGGAAGTCACCTCCCTCTTGCTTATTTCTGCATTATATTAATATACAAAGTTTAATTTTTATCAGTATTATTTTACTAGGTGGTAGGACTTCGTTTCTCTACGGAAGTTCGACTGGAAAGCCACCCCCCCTCTTACTTATGTCTGCCAT